CAAGAATTATTTATGATACAAATTTCATATTGCATGTAATCAGAGCCAGACCACACTAAAAAAAAAGAAAAGAAACAATTTATATACCACAGCAGCAGACTTCACTGCTCATCAGAAATAAAAGTATTTGGGAGTATCAGTGGGAGTCACAAAGTAATTTTGAAAACCACTACACACAAACAAAATTATCAGGTATGGCCAAATTCAGCAGAGGTGCAGAAACCCTGCTTTCATTAGTGTTACACCAGAGATTAATCTGACAAATGGAAAATAATTATCCTCATCCCCTTCTATTCATTTAGACTGCGAAATAAATCTGCACTTTGAGCTTTTTAAGGAAATTGCAGGAGACATTTTCAAATGCAGGAGTAAGTTAATGACTTAAAGCAAGTTGAAGGAAAATACTGAGAAAGACAAACTAGCTGAAGACCAATCCCATAGAGGCTCTTATCAGTAGTTCTAAACAGTCAGCAGTGCCTTCTTCCAATAACTCCCCCCAAAAGGCCTGTCAGCTTAACTTTGAAACACCCAGTAATTCTTCATAGAAAAAAATAAAAACAATCACACTTCAGAATCTATACTGTGCAGCTGCCAAGAACATAGCAGCAGCTGCTGACTGATACTATAGCAGAGAGGATGAAGGGGAACACTTTTATCCAAGCCAGCTACAAGGAGATGCCAAATAACTACTGTAGTTGAATACATACATATGCCAATTTAAAAATAACAGATACAAAGCAAACAGAACAAATTATGCCAGCAGCAGTCTCATATGTGTATTTATGAGATTATGTCTGGACATTTGTGAGTCACAGAACAATACTGATGTATAAAATCAAGATGGACATCTGTCTGTGCAGTCATGCAGAATGGAGGAATTCATGAGCAACTGTTAAGATTTGGTTAAGGGTCTTCACCTTAGGTGCACACAGGAAAAAAAGACAGATGGGTAAAAATTAAAGCAAGTTTAAAATGCATTGTTTAATTGAGGGTCCTTTATCATTTTATATAAAATGATGGAAATAAACCATGGCTGCACAACACTTGTGCATACATAAGGAAGAGTTTTTCTTTACTTCCCGAAGTTGTTCCATAGTCAAATCTCAGTCCTTTTTTGAAAAAGATCACATTGGGAGGAGCCATGAAAAAATCCTAATGGGTGCACCTATACATGCAATTCACATGGCTGAATAAAGTTGCTAGCAGGGGCACAAGGGTGCTAAAGTGTGGGGCTAGCCAGCCGGCAGCCAACACACTGTAGCATACTTATGTCCCAGTCAGCCCTGGTCACCATCTACACATGCACCGTGACAGAGTAAATAACTCCATTGTAGGATAGTACTTATGTTGCATAATACTATCCTATAGTGGAGTTGGTTTAGTCTGGGCAAATAGTGCTGCAAGTGTAGACAGTGAAGCTTTACTGGAGCTAATCAGCCAACTCCACAGTAAAGCACTCATGTAAATGCCCCCGCTATCAATGAATTTACAAGTCTAAAAAAATATAGCAGAATGAAAAATGACAGTATGCAAAAATAATGTGGAGGTGGGTCAGAGTTTATTTTCATAGATTTCATAGACATTAGGGACTGGAAGGGATCTCGTGAGATTATTGAGTCCAGCCCCCCTGCCAGAGGCAGGAAGTTTATAGGAATCAGATGATCCCAGCAAGATAAACATCCAAATGCCTTTTTAATGAGTCCACAGTAGGCGCTTGCACCACCTCTGGGGGTGGGGAGGAGTCTTTTCCAGACCTTGGGCACTCAGACTGTGAAGAAGTTTTTCTTACATTGAGTCTCAATTGGCCTCCTAGAACTTTGTGTCCGTTAGATCTAGTTATCCCTTGGGGAGCCCTAGTGAACAACTGTTCTCCCAGATTCTGATGTACCCCCCCCATTATATAGACAGCCACCAGTCCCCCCCGAACCTCTCTTCTCCCATGCTGAAGAGTCCCATGTCCCTCAGCCTCTCCTCATAAGGCTTTCTCTCTTGGCCTTTGATCATACAGGTAGCTCTCCTCTGGACTCTCTCGAGTTGTGCCTCAAGTGATTTGAGAGTAAACTTTAGGCTGCCCATGCAGCTAAATTCAGGAACCAAAGGGAAATTCTCATATTTAGATATTCTGAAGATAATATTGACCCCCATTGTTTTGGTATCACTTACACTTGCATACCAGAGGATTGGAAGAAGGCCAATGTGGTCCCCATTTACAAGAAGGGGAGAAAGGAGGACCCCAGCAATTATAGGCCAGTCAGGCTTACCTCGGTCCTTGGAAAGACCTTTGAGAAAATTATCAAGGAGCACATCTGCAAGAGTGCAGCAGGGGAGGTAATGTGCAACCAACATGGGTTCATTGAGGGCAGGTCCTGCCTAACTTGGTTTCTTTTTATGATCATGTCACAAAATCCCTGGACGAGGGTGTCAGGGTGGATGTCATCTTCCTGGACTTTAAGAAGGCCTTTGACATGGTTTCCCACCACATTCTCTGAAAAGAAAAAAAAAAAAACTCGGTGACTGGGGCATTGATGCCTACAGTCAGATAGGTGGCAAATTGGCTAGATGGTCGCACCCAGAGAGCGGTGGTGGACAAGTAATTTTTGACCTGGAGGAATGAGGGCAGTGGAGCCCCCAGGGCTTGGTCCTGGGGCCTGTACTCTTCAACATCTTTATCAGCAATCTGGATGTGGGTGTGGAATGCATGCTGTCCAAATTTGCTGACGACACTAAGTTGTGGGGCAAGGTGGGCATGCTGCAAGGGAGGGACAGAATCCAGCTAGATCTAGACAGGTTGCAGAGGTGGGTGGGTGAGAATAGGATGGAGTTCAATGCAGACAAGTGCAAGGTGCTGCATCTAGGGAGAAGGAACCAGCAACACACCTATAGGCTGGGGGACACCCTTCTTGTCAAGACAGTGGCAGAAAGGGATCTTGCAGTCTCTGACTCCAGGACGAACATGAACTGCCAATGCGAGGACAGGGTCAGTAAGGCTAACTGTCCCTTGTCGTGCATCTACATATGCATCACAAGCAGGTCCAGGGAGGTGATCCTTCCCCTCTGTGTAGCATTAGTCAGGCCTCAGTTGGAGTACCGTGTCCAGTTCTGGGCGCTCCACTTCAAGAGGGATGTGGCTAGCATTGAGAAGGTCCAGAGGAGGGCCACTCACATGGTCAAGGGGCAGCAGGGCAGGTTCTACGAAGAGCGGCTAAAGGGCCTGAACCTATTTAGTCTTCACTAGAGAAGGCTGAGAGGGGATCTGGTAGCCATTTACAAATTCACCAGCAGGCACCAGCGGAAATTGGGGGAGGCTCTGTTCCCCCAGGCACCACCAGGGGTTACTAGGAATAATGGCCACAAATTGTTAGACAGAAGGTTCAGGCTGGATATCAGGAGACATTACTTTATAGTTAGGGCTGCCAGGCTCTGAAATGGGTTCCCAAGTGAGGTGGTTTTCAAGAGAAGGCTGAATAGATATTTGGCTGGGGTGATATGATCCCTGCACCTGTTCCTGCCCGGGGCAGGGAGTCGGACCTGATGATCCGTTTAGGTCCCTTCCGACCCCAAGTACTATGATATACAGCAATTTTAGGAGGTGAAAGACAACAGACTGGAAGTAAGGAAGGAGAGAGCAGGAGAAAATATGAAGTGTCTGGTTGTAAACTTTATGTTAAAAACTGGCAGGTGTTGTGTTTAAGTAACTGTTGAACAAGGATTTGGTTCCTTGACAAACCAGAACTTGAAGTCACATTAGGAGAGAACAATTTCTAAATAAGGTGAGGAATGGGGTTGAGCTTCAGTTCGCTATATCTCACATTAGAAGTCAATGCCTCTTCCCTATACTTTTAGCCCTCACACAAGGGAAGGGTGGCAGTGGGTCCACTCAAGAGTGTTGGGATTAGGCTTAAAAGTTTTGACAGGTAGTGGACTGATGTCATTCATCCCCCAGGTGGTGCAGACAGGTGAGAGCAGAGGGCAGCCCATGCTCAGGTGCTATAGATTATGAAAGGAAGGATGATGAGTTACTGCCAGATTGTTTCCCAGATGTGTTAACTTAACACAGATGCACCCTAGTTATATCACATCCCTGGTGTCTTGTCTTTCTTCCTGTGGTACCCCGGATAAAGGAAACAAGCAAGAGGAAAGCTTACATAAATTGGATTTGGGCAATTACTCAAATTTAATAGATTTTTTTTCAACTTCAAAGCTCTGTTGGCAATTCATAGAAAAAAATCTGTTTACAGTCAATCTCATACTGATACTAGGGTTTGTTTTCTAACTACCACACAAAGCAAAGCTGACCAGGTGTTTCTAAACCACCGAAGCAGCTGCTCCTAACCAAACTCACAGGAAATAGCAAGGAAAATATGCAGCATTTGACACATCTGGAATAGATTGCAGAGTCTTTGAAATAATGTGCCAATTCCCTTCCTCCCACTGATGAGATTTCAGGCTACCAAAGTGCTGCATCCACTAAAGAGGGACAGATAAGATGTATGTCTTCACCATACACATTCTTCATGTCAGCATGAAGAATAATGCTTCGAAGTTAGCCTGGAAATAATGCATGTAGGAAAAACGGTACTGTAAAATGTACTAGAGTAAACAGAGAGAAATCAAGCAGAAGATTGATATTTAACATGGGAAAATTGGTATTTACTGTACTAGCTGAACTTGGTAAATTTAAAAAGGAAAATCAGTATTACATACGTTTCATATTTATGCTAAAAAGTTAAAATGTAAAACACACTAAAAGTTTTGAGTAATAAAACATGGGATGAAAAAAGGAGGAAGAATAGGGGGAGCAGGTTAGCAATATCATTTGCATGTAATTTCATGTTAGTTGATTGCAGCAGAATACTGCAGCATGAAATTCTCTAATGTAAGGTGCAAAAACTAAAAAAGCAGCAAGGGTCTTACACATTGCTCTTCTCTGGCAGAAGGACAATAAATGAAAAAAGTATAAAAAACACAGATGAAATTCAGAGGGAAATGCAAAACAACTATTAAACATAATCATTTTATTTCTTTTCTTTTCTCCACAAAAGGCCGGGAAAGGGAGGTTTCCCAGAAGTAATAGTTTATAATTGTTTACCTTTTTTAGTAACTATGCAAATTAATAACAATAAACTATGTGACCTGTTTACATATGCATTTTTAAAACATTCAGCGTAAATACAAATTGAATAAAGCATTACTAGTTTAAAGACAACAAAAATCTCATTTTTTTAATGTTAGTATTAAAAAAAGTTCAAATTAAAAAAAAGAAAAGGAGGATTCCGCCCTCCCACAAAGAAGCAAAACATGTTGATTACTGGTTGTCACTGAGATTCCAGTTGTAGTAAAGGATTAAGAGGTCTATTCTCCTATCCTGGCAGGGCATAGATCTTACATCTATTGCAGGGAATTATGTTTGTTTATGAACAGGAGAATGCACCCGTAAAGAGATGATACCTTTAAAAATATAATACAATTACTGTTAAGTGAATACTAGTAAGAGTGCATTGGTTATTTTTTTTGCTATTAGTTTAAAATAAAAGACTGAAGGGGAAAAAACACCCCCCCCCCACACACACACACACGTATTACAGTTTTAACTCAAGTCAGAGCTAATTTTTTTGAAAGACTGAAGTCGTTTTTTCTAAATTAAGCATGGTGAGACACTTGTAAGCACCATTCTGAGAAACTCATCAAATAAAGTGGATTTCAGGGTAATAGCAAACATAACATTTGGTAAATACAAAGGTTAATGTAATTAACCTGAGACCTGATCTGCAAAGCTGTTGCTGTAGCAGAGACCTATTTGCATAAAAAGGCCTAAGACCCAATGTTAGCAATCCTTGCTGACTGGAAGTAGATCTGTCTCTTTCAATGGAGCTATCTACAGAAGAAAGATTCATTTGCATGACCAAGGGTTTTCAGGATTGGGTCCAAATTAGTTAATCAAATCATGCGGAGAATAACCTGCTGTTCAAATGGACACTCAATACCTTCTACCCTCAAAGAATTATACCAAAAATAAAACTATAACTTTAATGTCCAAATTAACAAAACATATATTGTTCATATTATGAGTAAACATAATTTATAGTGAATGAGAAATACTATGGTTACAAATATATTTTGACATCACTCCTAAGAAACGATCTAAACAGTAATTTATGCATAGATATTTACATGGGGGCTCAAAGTGGTATTTCATTTTTAAACAAACTACTAAGTTGGTCTGAGTTTGATAAAATGCTGATCATTAAACACTTATAATAATGAGGATTTGCAAATTTTTGTAAACTTTTAACAAGTGTTCTATGTTGCACAATCATTAGATTAATCTAAATTACATAAACACTAACTAAATGTTTGAACTGGTTAATCTGAATCAGTATATTTCAAATTTTACTGAACTAAACTTCAGATCAGCTAGTCAGTGGTACACACATGCTGTAAGACAAGATACCACTTGAGTCTTTAAGATACAACAAGCACAGATTAACCAAATTTGATTGTATTTAATCTCTACTAACAGGCTGTATGTAGGGTATGATTTTACTTCAGTCCTATCTTTTTACTTAGCACATAAGCAAATGTGCAAAAACAAAAAGGCAATTTTTTATATATTTACTTGAATGAACAAAACTGGGACTTAAGCATAAACCACCCTGTCATTCTGTTTGAAGCTGCATCTTTTCTTCACTAATTTGTCTTCTGTTTTTAGTAGTCTTCTATCATATTAAATTGGAGAGTTACAGATCATCTGGAAATTTCACACTGGTATAAGAAGGGAATGTCTGGTCGATGCAGTCTAGAGATAAAGAAAGAATCGTACTTCAGTTCATCAGATTGATTAACTGTAAGCAACACTGATAATTGAGGTGAGTGTTAAAGCAGAAAACCATTTTTTTTTTAAAAAAAAAAAAAGCAAAATCAATTTTATCCCAATCAGGACGACAGGAGAAACTGGCAGTAGAAAAAGATCCATCCAAAATATTTTTAAGGCTTCTGTTTTTGGAATATTTATTCATATTACAGTATTTAGAATTGCTCACATCTATTTGCTTATTTAGAAATCATTTTACTGGACAGAAAATATCTTCTCTACATCAGTTCACTTATGCTTGCTGACATTTGCTTTGTAGTTATTACTTCAATTAAATATTTAATACCTTTGAACAAATATTGGGTAAGTCTGTCCAGCTCCTGAAGATCTTTTTGAGTCTGAGTAGCTCCTACTGTGTAATGGTTAGAGGTGCTTTAAGCTAACGGACCAGTCAATAGAAAGATTCTCACTGTCTACAGTGGGTGTTACATAAAGGTCCTAATATTCCATCCTATACCAGAATTTCAAGCCCGAGAAGATGAAAAAACAATAGCGTATACTACTACACTGTCCTCCTCACATCCACCTTTTGAAGAAAATTCACCCAGATACTATTAGACTTTTAATCACCCTGCATTTGAAAAGCTCTATTCCTACATTAATTTTTGTTCTATATGATCTAAATTTATTAAATACATATCAGATGTTTTCATGCAGGTGTTTACTATACATTTTTCCTTAACTCTAAAGAGGCCACTTTATTGCTCAGAAAATAAAATATATATTATTGCTACAAAATGAAGGAAACACTGCACTGTAGATGTTGCTAACTTAGGCTGTTTCTTAAAAGGCAATATATTTCTCAATTATCATTTAAGAGTTTACCTTACTGCATAGTTCTGACAAAATGGCACATGATAAAAGCATATTACATTACAATTTTATTCACTTAACAGATTAATTCCATGATCAAGAACTGAAAAGCACAGCAGAAGTAATGATTTTCCATATTTATCATTAGGTGTTCATTAAAGTGGATTTTGCTGCCTTAAATAAAAAGAGACATCCTTTCTACGCAAATACTGTCTCAGGATTTTTGTTTTGTTTTTTTTCAGACTTCCAATAGTGAGTTGCTGGTTACTTCGTACTGATCCTGTAGCCAATCTTGAAAAAAAGAAGTTAAAAGAAAATCTGCTTATTATAGTAAATACAGCTTTTAAATGAAATAAAACTGAGAACCAATACTAAACATTTAAAGTTACACACAACATAATGAAAATGCATGGTAATTATTTACGGACTCAATTAGAATCATGGTGTTAAAAATCAAACAAATCTCCCAATGTTAAATTATGCAGCAAAGGCCAACAATCCACATAATGGATAAGTAGTACTTGAGACAAAAAGCCAAACTGATAAGCCAACTAAAACAAAAACAAAGTACATTGTTACATAAATAATAAAAATCATGGTTTGTGATTAGCTTAAAACATTCGTATAAAACAGGCAATACACGGATAGTCTGGCCTCAAGAGTGAATGTCAATCACATTTAACATTCAGATAGATCAGTGCTTCCTGACTGGCTGAGAACAGGCTGACTGATGAGCCAATCAGTTCTCGTGTGCTAATGTCCATATACTGATTAGCTGCAGCTACTACTCTTTATACAAAGTGAACTTGATTTCTAAGCTTATATTTGCTCAGAACGTTAGTTTCAAAAGAAACAGTTTTAATTTTAAAAAATTCTTAACTTCAGAAGAGGAAAACTCTGGATGCTCCTGAAGTATACTTCAGAATGGAGACAGAATTCATTGTTACTGCATTTAACATGCATACAACAAAGACTTATTGTTTTGGTGACCACAACTTAATGTTCCTTGAAGGAAATATTAGCCTGTTAATATCTGTTGACCAAGAAAAAAAAAACAGAATCTACCTCCTGGAACAATTAACATTTATCTCAATAAAATAACAATTGCTTACCTCTAGTACAAGAAGAAAAATCTTGTCCTATGAGCAGCTGCCATACTTTCAGACATGTTTCTGACTTTAAGGTAATTGACAAACCCTCGAAAGAACAGGAGAAGGCCTGAAAGCATTAAAAATGCATATAAATAAATGTAAAAAAAATCTAGTTGTATAATAGTTTTTTTTACTGTCCCATTAAAAGAATGCAAAAAATTGAGAGAATGTGCGCATGCACACACAATTTGACCTTCAAAAATCCAATCTATGAACATAACCTAACCTCATTATGTTTACCTACACCCAAATGTACAGATACATGAGTTCCAACAGCACAAAAGATTTTACAATTAATTTAGAGTCGGGTTTAAGACTATCATTTGTACTAAACTTAAACAATTTTTAAAAGCAGACAAAGAATCTTTGAAATACAGTTTTAAAATACTCTGTTTAAAAAAAGGGGGAAGCAAATACAGGCCTCAACAGCAGGATGAGTTGTTGCTGTATTAAAAGACAACCTAAATTCTGAAATACAGTCAGAAATATATACATGTAGATGAGTATAAAATATGTTGCCAGTGAGTCAGGGAAAAACCCAACATGCCAGGTAATAATAAACGTAAGTAAACGGTGCCTCAGTATTTGGACAGATATATTTTTATAGTAATAGACTAAAGACAGACAATGTTGCACGATCACTCTGGAGCATGAGTTACAAGTACATACTTTATTTGGTCACACCACAGATCACCTGGAAACTAACCACACACAGCTTTCAGCTACAGTAGTTTAGGGAGTCACCATAAAAATACACAGAGTTTCATAGTTTCTAGGGTCGGAAGGGACCCGAGTAGATCATCTAGTCCGACCTCCTGCCATGGCAGGAAAGAGTACTGGGGTCAAACGACCCCAGCAAGGTGTACATCTAACCTCCTCTTAAAAACCCCCAGGGTAGGAGCCCGCACCACTTCTCTTGGAAGTTGGTTCCAGATCCTAGCCGCCCTGACAGTGAAGTAGCGCCTCCTGATACTTAGCCTAAACCTACCTTCTGCCAGCTTGTGACCGTTATTCCTGGTCACTCCTGGCAGTGCTCGGGGGAACAGGGACTCCCCCAGTGCCTGCTGATCCCCCCCTGACAAGTTTATAACAGGCCACTAGATCCCCCCTCAGCCTTCTCTTTTGGAGGCTGAACAGGTTCAGGTCCATTAGCCTCTCCTCGTAGGGCCTGCCCTGATCATTTGAGTGACCCTCCTCTGGACCCTCTCCATGCTGTCCACATCCCTCTTGAAGTGCGGTGCCCAGAACTGGATGCAGTACTCCAACTGCGGCCTGACCAGTGCTGCATAGAGGGGGAGGATCACCTCTTTGGACCTGTTCGAGATGCATCTGTGGATGCATGACAAGGT